GGCGCCGCCCCGGGCCGCGGCGCCGCTGCGGGTCGCCGCGCCGCACTGCCGCGGGCCAGCCCCGGGGGGTCACCGCCCACCATCACCAGCCTCGGACTTATCCCTAACCCTAAGATTGACACGCCGAACAGCGATGACAATCTTAGGGGTGCACCCTCAGAAACTGAGGGAGTCCCTCAGATTGGCATCGTGATGAGGCGATGCCCAACATAGGGATAGGGATATGTTCCAGGCTGGTAACACCAAGCCACCCCGACCCAACCCGAAGGCCCCGAGTCGCCCTCCATTTCCAGCGTGGGGAGGGCCAGGGAACATGGAAAAAAACACATCTGAAGCCCATGGCTCCCCAGCCCGATATTCGGGTCTTCGGGTTGGGTCGGGGTGGTCTGGTAAGTGGTCAGGGGAGCGTCAGTCAGAGGAGGGGCAGGTAGCCATGCCGCTACCCCTAAATCGGGCACGTCCCCCTACATGGGGAGTTTAAAAATCAGCAAAATTGTCTTGGGACGTTGTTTTGATTATCAATTTGGCAATTTTTCAGTATTTTGTGAATTTCCGTTTGCTTTTCCTACAAAATCCGCCTGTAGGAGGACATGCCCGACCTAACGCTACCCTCTATCCGTTTTCATTTTTTCTGTGGCCTTTTGGGAGGCCCTCGTTGTCACCGCTGGGTTCGCCTCGAAATTCAGGTCAGAACGCACCTGGAAGCTCACCCATCGACAAATTTCGAAGCGCCGGATGTTTCGGATTTGGGATGAGAGCGCTCCACTGCGTGCCTCGCGGCATGGTGGCGGATCTCACACCGCCGAGAAGCCCAGGGGCTGGGGAACTCTTTCTGAGCGTCGGCGGTCTGGGGGAGGTTGGGATGCCAGGGAGAGCGGTGGGGATCGGCGGCGGCGGCGGCGGCGGCCGCGGCGACGACGACGACGACTATCACGACGACGACGGCGACGACGACGACGACGACGACGACGACCACGATGACGACGACGACGACGACGACGACGACGACGACGACGACGACGACGACGACGACGACGACGACGACGACGACGACGACGACGACTATCACGACGACGACGACGACGACGACGACCTCGGTCCCCGTCGGAGAGCACAGCCACCGAGACGCCGACAACGCCGACGACGCCCGCAGCAGCATTATTCCGCTGCTCAGGGGCCGACAGGCGCCCCCGGTCCCGGACGCTGCCCCCCGTCGCTCGTCCAGAGTCAGGGGCAATGCAGGGGGGGGGGGTACGGGTGCGGGACGCAGTCGGAGAGAGGCAGAGGGTCGAGGTCGGGTCGGTGAGGGTGCCCTCGTGTTCTTCGTGCTTGTGGGCTGTTCTTGTGCATCCTGGGGAAGGAGTGCCCTCGAATGCTCGTGAGGGGAGGCTGCATCGATTCCCAAACGGCCGCTCACCGCAGAGAGGGGTCCACTGGCTCACCCCGTCCAGGAACGTGCGGATTCGCGATCGGATGCTTGCTTTTCGGCGATGCATCGCTGATTCCAGGTCGATGTTTCCGCCGTGAACCCGTGCCGTTGCGCCTCGTGGAGTGGGCCCACCTTTTGCACAGCAGGCCGTGGAGCGCGGAGCTATCGAGAGCGCTTCCTCCCGGATCTCTTTGCACGCATATAACGCCCACCAGAGGCAGCAGCGAGCGGCAGCGCAGGCCGCGATGACGCGGGCCGAAGGACAAGCCTTGGCCTCTGGAATGCCTGGGCTGGCTGGGTGCATGGGTCAGACTCTCGCTGGGAGGCGAGGGCAGACGCCCGCTCTTTGTTTCCCCTGGCGACGGCGGACGTGCCTGGGGGGGGAGGGATGCGGGGGCCCTGCCGTGCCACGGTGCGCGCGGGCGCCTTCCTGGAAATGCCTCGGGATGGCCAGTCCCCAGACGGCGCCGGCGCGAATCGTGACGAGACCAGGGGGGGGCGGGGGTGGAGCCAGTCACGGGCGTTATCGTGGAGGACAACAAGGTAGGCTCCAGGGGAGGTCTCGTGCCAGCTCCAGGGGTCCCGAGCTTCGGCTCTCGGGCAGTGGGCCTTGCAGAGTGGGCTCTCCGACGGGTGAAGCCCAGAGCTGGGTTGGCAGAGGGCCCAGGAACTCCCGACGCCCAAGCTGGCTTTCTTGGCAGACGACATCCAACCCTGGCGCCCGGAGCATCCACAGGTCTAGACCCCGTGCTTTGAGTCTGGCTCGGGGTGGGCGAACGGAGGCTTTGAGGATGGGCTGCGACCTCTGCTGCGTGCAGCTGGTTTCGATCTTCCGTGGGCCGCTGTCCTCGTTGCATGGCCGCCTCCGGCGCCGGAAGACGCCGAATAATCATAAGCTGCATGTAGCCGGTTCGCCCAACCCCTCTGTGCCGTCCCAGCATGTCGTCCACCCGAGAGCCTAGAGATCCGACGTTGGCCTCGTCCAAGCGGGCCCCAGAGGTCGCCATCCCTTCCCCGTGGGGTACTTGCTCAGTCCCAGACCCACTCCTGACTGTCCCGTCCCAGACCCACTTCTGACGGCCACAAGATCTTGAGAAAATCGGCCCTCGGGGCTGAGATGACAGAAGAACACCAGGATTGAAGGATTCGCGGCGTCGGAGGTTTGGGAATCTGGGCTTCAAGATATCGGCGCTACCCTAGCATACTAATACTGTGTGTGCGTCGTCTCCTCAGGGGCGACGCGCGCATCGAGAAATGTTGTAGTATATGCGCCATGGCGGGCGTTTTGTGGCCACACCGCTCTGGAAACGATATACTACTAGATGGGTGTACTACATGTTCGGGTCGGACGCGCACCTCCAAGGAGGACATACTAGTACTAGTATGCCTCTGTGCGTCCCACTGAGATGACGGACGAACTCCAGGATTGAAGGATTCACGACGTCGGAGGTCTGGGAGTACCCATCGGTCGTTGAAAGTAGGTATTTTTGGATTTCCAGAGCCCAGTTTACTTCAAGCGCCTTCCTACTTCAAGAATCGATGTGCTTTTGCTGCGTTTTGTTGGTCTCTGGGCGGGCCCGAACCCAATCTATTTGATCCGCCTTCCTACTTCATGTTTCTACCTACTTCTTCCGACCGATAGGTACCAGTGTATCTCTGTGCGTCCCGAGCTGGACCCCGGGACCGATCCTGGGGTGCGTTCTGGCCCGAAAATCTCGAGGCGAAAGCACCCAGCCGTGGGCACGAGCCGGCCCAGGAGCTGCCATAGACGCCAGCGCCAAGCCTCGAACCTCGGCCCTCGAGCCTCGATCCTCGGCCCTCGAGCCTCGATCCTCGATCCTCGGCCCTCGGCCATCGATCCTCGACCCTCGAGCCTCGAACCTGGATCCTCGAACCTCGGTCCTCGGTCCTCGAGCCTCGAACCTGGGTCCTCGGTCCTCGATCCTCGGTCCTCGATCCTCGGTCCTCGGTCCTCGAGCCGCGAGCCTCGAGCCTCGAACCTCGAACCTCGGTCCTCGGTCCTCGAGCCTCGAGCCTCGATCCTCGGTCCTCGATCCTCGAGCCTCGGTCCTCGAGCCTCGGCCCTCGAGCCTCGAGCCTCCTGCCCCCTGCCCTGCTGCCCTGCTCCCCGCTCCCCCGCCCCCGCCCGCCCCGCCCCGCCCCGCCCCGTCGGCCCCCTGGGGCCTCCCGCCGCCTGCGCGCTCGCCGTCGCCGTCGCCCGCCCGCCCCCCCGCTTCGGATGCGACTCCTGGGAGGTCAAAATTCTGCAGCCTGCAGTCGGGGGCGGAAACGAGGGGGGTGAGGACTAGGGGGGGTGGATATCATGGCGGGGGCCATGATATTCCTGCCGATCGCCGATCCGACTCGCCGATTCGATCCTGGGCTCCCCCGCCCCTCCCTCTCTCTCGCCCCCGTGCCTGGGCGGGCAGCACGGCCTGCCAGGAGCCTGCGGCGCCGGCACTCTGTGCGTCTGCTGCGCGCCCGCCCAGGCGTGCGAGATGTCCTGGCGTCGGGGCCCCCAGGTCCGAGGCCCGAAAGCCATCACGTCACCAATTTTGGGCCCCACAGGTTGCGCGGCAGGTGCGGGGGAGGATTTTGCCCTCCCCGACCGAATGCCCCGCGGCGGCGCTGGACCGTTTTTCTCTTGCGCTGGCCACGGGGCGGTCGCCCGTCGTGTGGCCAGTGCCTCCTAGCCCATGGGGCTGCTGGAGGTACTCCTTCGGCCAGTGAGGTGCCCCTCGCTGCCAGCAGAGGTTTCCAGCCGCCGCTGCTGTGCTCACCAAGGCTGTGCGGGCGTCTGGCTCAAAAAACACTGAGGCCCCAGGGGCCCCACGTTAGTGAAGTGAGGCTTTTTCCCACGTGAGGAGCCCGAACTTGATCACTTCACTCCACCCGAGCCCAGGACGAAAGTCGGGGGCCGAGTTGCTGCTGTGATGCAACATAGGTCTCGTCAGGGCCCGCAGGGGCCCACATCTCGAGTATAGAGAGGACCGACTGCATAATGGATTTACCCCAGAATCAGCTTCCTTGGCGAACCTACGGACACATCCCAGAACTCTCACAATCGATTGCCGACATGTCGGCGCCTTCGCCGTAGACTGGACGGGGGGAATCAACTTTGGGGCACACCGATCTGTGCAGTCGACCCCCCGCCCGAACATCGGCCACGCTCTTCCCGCCCTGGCCCCGTGCCGGGCGCGAGCGCCTCCCGGAGAGACGGCCCGCCGGGCGCGCCCGCGTGCCGCGCCTGCGGCGGCGCGCGCGGGGCCCGCGCCCTCGGAGGAGGCTCGGGGGCCCCCCAACGGGGCGGTGACCACACCGTGCGGTGAGTCGGTGGGGATGCGGGGTCGCCGCGCGGTCTTGGGGCTCCCTCTCCGAGGACGTCGCGGGCGACAGGGGCCTCCGGGGTCCCAGGGCCGTGCGGTGACGGAGCGTGCTGTGAGGTCTCTGAGGATTCCGAGGTCGCCGCACGGCCTGTCACCGCACCGGGGGAGCGGCCTCCCTCTCAGACGCCTCCCCCCTCCCCCTTCTGCCCCTTTCTTCGAGGAAGGAACCACGCCATAACCATAGACTTTTGGCGCTCCGCGCTGGCCCCCCCAAACATTTCTTCGAGGAAGGAGCAACGCCATAACCATAGACTTTTGGCGCTCCGCGCTGGCCCCCCCTTCTTCGAGGAAAGAACAACGCCATAACCATAAACTTTTGGCGCTCCGCGCGGATTTCTTGGATCCACGCTGGCCCCCCCCCCATCGGCGCCTCCGGCGCCGCCCTTGGCGCGCTTCGCGCGCCGGGGAGGGAGGGTCCAACGCAGATGCAAAAAGTCCGCGCGGAGCGCCAGCGTTTGATGTTTGTGGCGTTTTCTCTTCTTCCACTTCTGCGCGCCGCCACTCTGGGAGCTCGTACCTCGGGATGGGTCCGCTGCTGTCGGACCAGGTGTTGCTCTGCGCCGAGCCGAGGAGCGGCCACCCCGGCACGCTTCAGGGGCAGGGTGAAGAAGGGGGGATAGGCTCAAGGGGGGGTGCAGCGACCCCCACTCGCCCGTGGATCGCCGACAGGGGCCCGATAAGCAGCCGTCCCCCCTGCGAGCGCGCCGCCTGTCCTCCCCGCCGCCGGGCGCGCCTTCTCCCCCCCCCCCTCTTGGCCGCTGCGGAGGCTGGCCGCGGCCGCAGGCGTGTCGGCCTCGCAGGTGAAGGCGCGCCCGCCCCCTCGCGCCCGCCCCCCCCCCCCCGCGTGTGGCGCGGCACGCCACCTGGAATTATCGGGAACCCCGAGACGGGGGTCCCTGCATGCGGGGGCCCGCCAGAGCGCCGGCTCTTGCAGCATCCTGCCAGGCCAGGGTTGCATGGCCCGGGTCAGCGCGCAGGAGCCTGCATGGTCCTGCAGGATCGTCCCAGGCTCCTGCGAAGCCCGACTGCGTCCCGATGTCGGTGCGATCCAACCACGCGCAAAAAGGGGGGGAAGGCTTCTTGGGAGCACCCCTGCTTCTTGGGAGGCGCGGGCTTTGTCCGCAGATGCAATGGCGCCTTCTAAGAAGCAGCCCCTTTATACTGAGCCTTCCCCCCTTACCCTACACTCGGAGGCTTAACACCAGCAATGTCGGCGGTGTGCCTCCACCGAGGGAAGATGATCCCAACCTCGGTGATGATGGTAATCTCGGGGCTTCTAAGTCGCCGACATATTACCACCAACACCGAAATCTAGGATCATCTGCCCCTTGTGGAGGCAACCCCCAGTGTTGGCGTTGGTACCCTTCTCCAGGCCTATAATCCACCCTTTGTGCGCGCCGCCAAGCGATGGAATTGAACAACTCTCTCGCTCCGAGGCGCGAGCGAACGGGTGGTGCTGTTCTGCTCGTCGCCGTCCTCCGAGCAGATCCCTCGCGGGCTCCGGGAGCCCCCGTGGCGGCTTAGAGGACGAGCCACACGCGTTCCAAGCCTTGGGACCTGCTCCGCCCCCCGTCGTTTCGGCCGGCGCGCAGGGGGTAGGGCGAGGGTGGAACCGAGTCGGACTTGGGATGGGGTCGTGCTTTTCGGGTCGCCTCAGATCCAGGGCGGGGAATGTCTTCGGGGCCAGGGCTCGTCGTGGCCCGAGCAGCCTCTTCGTTCCTTCTTGTTGGCTGTTCCCATGGGAGCGCGATGGCTGGTCGGACAGTTCCTGTCCACTTTGGGTAGGACTCGTTGTCGGAGTCGCCGCGGCCGCTGGCCGTTTGAGACAACCTGCCGCCTGGCCAGCAGCGGCAATTCTGGGTGTTGGGCACCATTTGCTCCTGGGCATCGTCTGATTTTTGCCGCACCCATTTTCGGTGTCCGACGAGGAAGCAGATGTAGAGGAGGAGGAGCAGGAGCAGGAGCAGGAGGAGGAGGAGGAGGAGGAGGAGACGGAGCAGGAGGAGGAGGAGGATGAGGAGGATGATGAATATGAATATGATGATGATGATGATGATGATGATGATGATGATGATGATGATGATGATGATGATGATGATGATGATGATGATGATGATGATGATGATGATGATGATGATGATGATGATGATGATGATGATGATGATGATGATGATGATGATGATGATGATGATGATGATGATGATGATGATGATGATGATGATGATGATGATGATGATGATGATGATGATGATTATGATGATGATGATGATGATGATGATGATGATGATGATGATGATGATGATGATGATGATGATGATGATGATGATGATGATGATGATGATGATGATGATGATGATGATGATGATGATGATGATGATGATGATGATGATGATGATGATGATGATGATGATGATGATGATGATGATGATGATGATGATGATGATGATGATGATGATGATGATGATGATGATGATGATGATGATGATGATGATGATGGATGATGATGAGATGATGGGAGGAGGAGAGGAGGAGGAGGAGGAGGAGGAAAAGGAGGATTGATGAAGAGGATTGAGGAAAAAGGTCGTGGAGAAGGGGAGGAGGAGGAGGAGGGGAGGAGGAGGAGGAGGAGGAGGAGGAGGGCAGGAGGAGGGGGAGCAGGAGGAGCAGGAGGAGGGCAGGAGCAGGAGGAGCAGGAGGAGGGGGAGCAGGAGGAGGAGGAGGCGGAGGAGGAGGAGGAGGAGGCGAAGGAGGAGGAGGAGGAGGAGAACGAGGCGGACAAGGAGGGTCGATGTGGAGGAACGAGGAAGAGAGTTGTGGAGAACGATCGAGGAGGAGGATGTGGCTGAGGAGGAGGAGGCGGAGGCGGAGGAGCAGGAGGAGGAGGCAGAGGAGGAGGAGGAGGAGGAGGAGGAGGAGGAGGAGGAGGAAGCACGATATAATACTCCAGATGATAAGCATACTCGTAAGAAACGAAGCTGAACAATCATACTACTAGTACGCATAGTAATGTGGCGGCTAAGACTAATACGAACAAGGCTAGGACGAGTAAGAAAACGAATCGTAATACCAATGCTACGAACAATTATATGGAATCTAGATCTAAGTGCATACTAGTAACAAGCATACGGAACTAGGAGATCTGACACTACTCATAAGACTACTTCTAGAATTGATACATAGCATGGATGAAATAGTAGTACTAGGATTCATAACCAGAGTCATACTAGTACTAATGTGTTAACCTTGCCATATTATTTTTAGTATTACTACTATTATCATTATTATTATTAATAAAAAGACGAATGATAATATTAATTAAGAAGATGAGGAGGGGGCTGAAACCTGAAGGCTGACGGCATGAATGCCTAGTCCATGCCAGGCTGCGCCGCACAGGGCGGCCCACGAACCTTGCGGGCAAAGGAAGAACGCCTGGCCCCCGGAGGCCAGGGCTGGGCCGCGGGCCGGCGTGCCAGCCAGGGGCACCACGGCTTCACCCCCAAGCCCGACTGGGCCCACGGGCAGAGCCCCAGCTGTCCACGCCGAGCCCAACTCTGGCAACTGGCGACCCAGAGGCACCCAGCCGACAACAGAACAAACCCGAAGCCAGGCCCCCCCCGGGGGCCAGCCCCGCGCCCGCAGGCCGCGAGGGCCACCGCGGCTCGGCCTCGCAGGCCGTCCAGGCCGCGAAATCGAGCCCCCAGCTTTCCAAGCCTGGTCAGACCGTGGCGGCACCGACCCCGCGGTCGCCGAAGTTCCTCAGCATTTCTGCGGAAGCTTGCACTCGTCGCCGCCATCACGGCTCACCGTCAGTCTCCTGGCCGTTCTCTGCCTCGCGCGCGTCCGCCGTCCGCCGCAGCAGGCCCAACGAGGCGAGGTCCTCGGCCAGGCCGTCAGCCAGCTCGTCGGCCAGCTCGTCGGTCTTGTCGGACACGGCATCGGTGAACTAGGCGACGAGCTTGTGCAGGGCCTCCTGTAGGCTAGCCCGCCCCCCGGCGTCGAATCCCCAGAGATCAAACTCCTCCATGATCAGCACCACCATTTGCTCCGTCTTCCTGCCGCTCTCCAGCCTGGCCTTGCCCTTGGCATACCCGCCGTGCTCCTGCTGCCCGATAGGTACTCGAGCCTCGACGCTATCGTCAGAGTCCGCGTGGCCCTCAGTGAAGGCCTCCAGGACTCCTTCGCTCAGATCGACCCGCGCTCCCGCCGGCTGGTCGCCCTTCGGCCCTGGAAACCCCAGCAACTTCAGAACCCCCTCGAGGCCCCAGTCGCACTGGGCCGCCGCGTTGTCCTCGCCGTCGCCCAGGACATGGGCGGTCGGCCCACTCATCGCCACGGTGGCCCCATCTCGCTGCTCTTCCGGCTCCACGGGTGGTCCTGGTGGGTGGCCGGGCGGACGCTTGCCCAAGGGAGGGATTCTGGCTCCCCGCCGCCGGCGCCTTCAAGCCGGAACCGCCTTCCGAACTGCCTGCCTTCGCCTCGGCTTCCCGCTCCTGGCACTTCTCCCTCCTGCGGAGCACCCTGGCCTCGTGCCTAGCAGCTTCCTCGGGCGTCGTGTTCGCCTTGGTCATCCTCGCGACGTCCCCCAGCTCCCCAGCCAGAGGGGTCGCTGGCTTGATAGCCGCTGGGCCCTGCTCGGGAGTCTTCCGGAAGTGCGGGGGCAGGCGATGGGCCAAGGGGTTCGCCAGCTGCCCCGCCACCAGGCGGTAATGGTGCTTCTACCTTCGCCCTCTCCACGCTCAGCTCCTCCTCGCACTCCGAAGGCGGGGCCGACGTTAGAGGGTCCCAGATCGGCTCCTGCTCCTCCTCCGGCTCCTCCTCCTTCTCCTCCTCCTCCTCCTCCTCCTTCGCCCCCTGGAGGGCAACGGGCAAGCGCTGGCTCTCCTGAGCCAGAGCCAAAACGGCTAGGGGGAGGATGAGGAGGAGCATGAGAAGGAGGAGGAGGAGGAGGAGGAGGAGGAGGAGGAGGAGGAGGAGGAGGATCGAGGATATCGAACTTCTTGGACATTTCTGGCCCTTCTTGAGCCTCTGCATGCCTCCTGGAGCTTCCGGGGACCTCCGTGCGGGGACCTCTAGAAACTTCTGCAGCGTCCATGTCCGATCCGGACGATCCGATTCGATATCGATCCCGTCAGGCCCGATCTGGTTTGATTCCGATGTTCCGACGATCCGATACGGCCCGATATTTGCAGGACATTGTTGTGTATCCTGGCGGCCTTTCCGACTTGATCCCGACTGCACTCGGGCCTCTGGCGTCCGCCTGGGACGGTTCGGGCACCCCCAAAGCGGTCTTGGCGAGCCCCTGAGGTCCCGAACGCTTCCCCAGGACGGGCTTCTCATCCCGAGTCGTTTCTTGACAGTCCCAGGGCCCGGCAAGGGCTCCCAGAGTCAGGAGGGGAAAACACATAGACACAATTAATTGTCGATCCCAAGGAAAATATGGAAAAATATGGGAAGTGGGGGGGAAGACAAAAACCCAGAAAATATGGGAAAATATGGGGATTGTTTTTATTTGTGTGTATTTATTTGTGTGTCCTGGGGCCCCTTCAAACATGGCCAGCAGTCTTTTTGTCGTGATCTTTTTCGCGCTCGCGACGCGCGGAGGGCCGGGAAATGCACAGGCAAGGCCAACGACGCTCAAAGGACTCGACCCTCGATCCTGGAAGGAGGAGGGCTGGAAACCTCCCTGGGCCGCCGGAAGCGTCCCCTGCCCTCCGCGCCCTCCGCTGGACGTCGTGCCCCCCCCCCCCCCTGAGGCTCATTACGATCCGATCGATCCGCTTCGACATCGGTTTCGGCCCGTTCGATTTGATCCGATCTCGATGTTTTCCAGTGATCTGGCGTGGCCTGGTGATTCTGCGGCGCTGTGGCGCGTCCCTGTGCAGCCGCTCCGATTCGACTTCGACTCCGTGCCGATGCGGCCCGATCGGACATGCTCCTCCTCCTCCTCCTCCTCCTCCTCCTCCTCCTCCTCCTCGATCGGACATGCATGGGGAAACAAAAGATACCAATACCGCTACTCCCCAGACCTCTCCCGGGGTGCGTCCTGCCCAGCATTTCGAGGCGAATCCAGCGGTGCCGACGAGGACCTCCCAGGAGGCTCAAAAAGGGGGAAACGAGCGAAGGGTAGCGGTATGGGTACCCTTTCCTCCCCCGAAAACATTCCGATTCGAGCCGACTTCCCGTTTCGATGCTGCCCGGTCCCGGTCCCTCCCGCGCCCCCCGAGGAGCTGCGCGACCGCACCGGCGCCTCCATGGGCAAGTGCCGCCAGGCGCTGCAGGAGGAGGAGCGCCCGCCAGCCCCGCCTCTCGCCGCCCGCGGGGGGCGCTCCTGGGGGCGCGCCCCCCCGGACCGCCCACGTGGGAGGGCTCTAAGAGACCATCTCTCTGTTGCTTGGGGCATGACCCACTTTTTTTCAGGTTCGCTGCTTCTCTTGGCTGGTGCTAGCTTTCGCCGCAATCAGCGGCTCATCAGGCTTGAGCCTAAATTGGCTCTGGATTCGCACTCTACCTGCAAGGAGGAAAGACTGGGCTACTCTGTAAGAACGGTTTTTTGAAGGCAGATCTGCCTTCAAAAAGGAGGAAAGACTGGGCTACTCTGCAAGAACGGTTTTTTGAAGGCAGATCTGCCTTCAAAGAACGGTTTTTTGAAGGCAGATCTGCCTTCAAAAAATAAGAACGGTTTTTTGAAGGCAGATCTGCCTTCAAAAAACCGTTCTTACAGAGTAGCCCAGTCTTTCCTCCTTGCAGGTAGAGTGCGGTTTTTTTGAAGGCAGATCTGCCTTCAAAAAACCGTTCTTACAGGGCGTCATGGCCCCCGCTCCCTCCCCCCCCTATGACGTAACGGCCCCCCCCCCCGCTGGGATCTGCGTAGGTGTCCCCGCAGAATCCGCATAGCAGTCTGCTCCGCAGTCGTCGTCGTCGTCGTCGTCGTCGTCGTCGTCGTCGTCGTCGTTTCGTCAAGTTTCCTGAAGTCTCTAAGCTTCTTCGCTGGTCACTTAGAGACTTGAAGTCTCTAAGTGGCCAGCAAAACGTACCCCGCAAGTTTAGACCAGCAGAGCGTACCCATGAGTGGAGTGTCGCCCATGGAGAAATCATACGTAGAGCGACTGACTGCTGTCCTGGGTATCATCCGAGACCGTAGGAACATATTTTAGCTTCAGTCGTGTGCGATACGGGTACACGGGCACGCAGCTACAGTGTGCGCCTCCCCGGACCGCCCACGCGCTGGCAAGAATCGGCGTCTGGATCAGATCACCGCGGGTGGTGCTGAGGGGATGCGCAGCCAGGGGCAATTCTTGAGGGGGATAGGTCTCCAGGAGGCCCCCCCAAAGCAGGTTTTCTTTTTTCGGGCCTCCTTTGGAGGCTTCTCGTCGCCACGGCTGGATACGCCTCGAAGAGCGGGTCAGGAAGGACCCCGGGTGAGGTCCGGGGGCAGACTGAGAGGATGTGGGACGGGCGGGAGAGCCGCCGTCGTCGTCTCACGTCGGAGGCAACGGATCAACGGGGCGTGGATTAGCGACGGGTCCCGTTTCTATGGGAAATCGCGGAACTCCGCCGCCGAGCGAGGCGGCACCGGTCGCATGTTGGGGAGGGCACCTCCCCCGATCTTTGGATTGCGAAGGCCTTGCGGCTGCGCCGCCGACCCTGCAGACGGAGACGACGAGCAGGACAAAGACGTTGAGGAGAGGGAGGCGGAGGACGTCAGGGAAAAGGAGGAGGAGGAGGAGGAGGAGGAGGAGGAGGAGGAGGAGGAGGAGGAGGAGGAGGAGGAGGAGGGGGGGGGAAGGAGGAGGAGGAGGAGGAGGAGGATGAGGAGGAGGAAGGAGGAGAGAGGAGGAGGAGGAGGAGGAGGAGGAGGAGGAAGACAAATAATAATAATACGCAGAAGCAGAAGCAGAAGAAGAAGACGACAAGTAATAATAATCATCAGCATACGAATAAGAATAATAATAATACTAATAGGAATAATAAGCATACTAATACTAAGCTGATTTATAACAAGGATAGGAGTACTACTGATTATACTATTACTACTAATAATAATGGAATTAAGAAGAAACATACTCATAATGCTAAGAATAATCAGTATACTAATAAGACGATTAAGACGAACATTACTACTAATAATAACACTAATAACAATGTTAGTAAGAGTATTAAGACGATAGCTACACATACTAGTAATACTACGAATCATAATGATAATGCGACTCATACTAATACGAACGATAATAACACTAATAATAATACTGCTAGGAAGAAGCAGAAGACGAACACTAAGAATAAGAACACTGATAATCATGATAAGACACATCATAATAATTCTTTACGCTTCGCGTATCCCCACCAGCCCATCTCACAGCAGCAACTCTCGCGAAGCATGCCGACAGTCGTGTTTTTCACGCGTGTGTCCGCTTGGCCCCGCATATCTCCCCTGTTCCTCCTTCCTCCCGCCTCCTTGAACATCCTCCTTGTGAGGTGAAGCGTTTGGGCACCTCGTTCGCGTGCAAGTTGTTCGGGCCCTTCGTAGGTGGAGTCGTAGTAGTAGTAGTAGTAGTAGTAGTAGTAGTAGTCATAGTAGTAGTAGTAGTAGTAGTAGTAGTAGTAGTAGTAGTAGTAGTAGTAGTTAGTAGTAGTAGTAGTAGTAGTAGTAGTAGTAGTAGTCGTAGTAGTAGTAGTAGTCGTAGTAGTAGTAGTAGTAGTCGTAGTAGTAGTAGTAGTAGTAGTAGTAGTAGTAGTAGTAGTAGTAGTAGTAGTAGTAGTAGTAGTAGTAGTAGTAGTAGTAGTAGTAGTAGTAGTAGTAGTAGTAGTAGTAGTAGTAGTAGTAGTAGTAGTAGTAGTAGTAGTAGTAGTAGTAGTAGTAGTAGTAGTAGTAGTAGTAGTAGTAGTAGTAGTAGTAGTAGTAGTAGTACTAGTACTAGTAGCAGATGAAGTAGTATTCAGTAGTTCTAGTAGTAGTAGCAGTAGCAGGAGTAGTGGTAGTAGTAGTAGTAGCAGTAGCAGCGACACTAGTAGTAGCAGCGGCAGTAGAAGTAGCCGTCGTCGTAGAAGTAGTAGTGCTCGTAGTAGTACTAGCACGAGTAGCAGTCATAGCAGTAGTAGTAGTACCAGTAGTAGTAGTAGTAGTAGTAGTAGTAGTAGTAGTAGTCGTAGTAGTCGTAGTAGTCGTAGTAGTAGTAGTAGTAGTAGTAGTAGTAGTAGTAGTAGTAGTAGTAGTAGTACTAGTAGTGTAGTAGTAGTAGTAGTAGTAGTAGTAGTAGTAGTAGTAGTAGTAGTAGTAGTAGGACTCATAGTAGTACGAGTAGATCTGGTAGCAGTCGTAATAGTAGTTGTAGTTGTAATAGTACGAGATGATGTAGTCAAAGGAGTATGAGTAGTAGTAGTAGTAGTAGTAGTCGTAGTAGTAGTAGTAGTAGTAGTAGTAGTAGTAGTAGTAGTAGAGCGTAGAGAGTAGTAGTAGTAGTAGTAGTAGTAGTAGTAGAAGTAGTAGTGGTGGTAGTAGTGGTAGTGGTGGTAGTAGTGGGTAGTAGTATAGTAGTAAGTAGTGTAGTAGTAGTAGTAGTAGTAGTAGTAGTAGTAGTAGTAGCGTAGTAGTAGTCGTAGTAGTAGTAGTAGTAGTAGTAGTAGAAGAAGAAGAATAATAAGAAGAATAATAAGAAGAATAATAAGAATAATAAGAATCATAATAATAATAATAAGAATAATAAGAAGAATAATAAACATAATAAGAATAATAATAATAATAATATTAAGAAGAAGAAGAATAATAAGAATAATAATAAGAAGAAGAAGAATAAGAATAATAAGAAGAAGAATAATAAGAAGAATACTAAGAATAAGAATAATCATATAAGAAGAAGAAGAATAAAAATAAGAATAATAATAATAAGAATAAGAAGAAGAATAAGAAGAATAATAAGAAGAAGTAGTAGTAATCGTAGGAGAAGAAGTAGTAGTAGATGTCTTTTGGGAGCCGCTCGGAGGCCTCTTGGGGCGTCTTCGGCGCCTCTTGGGGCCTCTTGGGGACCTCTTGGGGGTATCTTGGGGGCCTCTTGGAGGCCTCGTGGTGCCTCCTGGGGACCTCTTGTGGGCCATCTGGGGACCTCATGGGGCCATCTGGTGGACCTCTGGGGGCCATCTTGGGGGGCTTGTATGAGCGCTGCCCCTCCTCCTGGTGTGACTCGTTCGGGCTCCTCGTGGCGTGAGTCGTTCGAGACCCGCGTCGTGGTGTGAGTCGTTCGGGCTCCTCATGGTGTGAGTCGTTCGGGCGCCTCGTCCTGGTGTGAGTCGTTCGGGCCCCTCCTTGTGGTGTGAGTCGTTCGGGCTCTTCGTGGTGTGAGTCGTTCGGGCCCCTCGTCCTGGTGTGAGTCGTTCGGGCTCCTCGTGGGGCCTCTTGGGGGCCTCTTGGAGCCTCTTGGGGCCTCTTGGGGGCCTCTTGGGGGCCTCTTGGGGGCCTCTTGGGGGCCTCTTGGGGGCCTCTTGGAGGCCTCTTGGGAGCCTCCTGGGGGCCTCTTGGGGCCATCTTGGGGCCTCCTGCGACCTCCTCAGAAGCGCAAATGAGCGCTACCCCCTGAGAAGGACAAAATGAGCCCAAAACCTTAGTAAAATCAATGATTTTGATATCAAGGAAGAGGAGCGCTGCCCCCTCAGAAGGCCAAAATGGGGCCGAAACCGTAGTAAAATCAATGATTTTGGCTTCAAAGAAGAGGAGAGGGTTTTTTCTCGGTCCCCCCGTCGGGGGCAGAATCCTCGTGAGGGGTGTCGTTTTTTAGCCCTCCCAGGAGTCGAAATTGACCCCCCTGACGACCCGCCGGACCCCCTCTCCAGGCCCAGGGGGAGGGGGTACGGGGAGGGGTAAACCCCTCCCCGAAGGGGAAGAAGGGGGGTTGAGGACAGAGAGAGCTCCCTAAGCCACTCACGCCCAAAGGGCTGGTGGGATTAGACGAACACTAGTAGTGGACATTAGGAAAATAAGATTAATACCAGTAATAATAACACTATTAATTAACAAAAAATTGATAATAATAATAAGTTTAATACTAAGAATAATACGAATACACCATAACAATAGTAATACTAATACGACTAATAATACTAATAATACGAATAACAGTAATACTACTACTACTAAGAATAATAACAATAATAATAATACTCATCATAATCATAATCATAATCATACTACTACTACTACTACTACTAATAATACTAATATTACTAATAATAATAGTAATACTAATACAACTAATAATACTAATAACAATACTAATAATACTAGTAATCATACTACTACTACTACTAATAATAATAATAATAATAATAATAATAATACTAATACTAATAACACTAATACTAATACTAATAATACTGATAAATAATAATAACAACAACTAGAATAATTATACTACTAAGAACAAGCAATATACTACGAATAATAATAAGAATGCGACTAATAAAATAGGAAGAAGACGAATAATAATAACAATAATAATAACAATAATAATAACAAGAACAACAAGATGAAGAAGAGGAGGAGGAGGAGGAGGAGGAGGAGGAGGAAAAGGAGGAGGAGGAGGAGGAGGAGGGGGGAATGAATGGGCCCGTCTGAGGCTTTGTGTGGGCCCCCGGACCCCCAGGGGGGTGTCGCATCCGACGCGGAACCCCTCCCTGGACCCCCCCCGGCACTCCCCGTGGACCTCCCCCAGGACTCCCCCGGGACCCCTCCCGGGACCCCCCAGCAGGGAAGGGATCAAAGGGAAGGGGCTTCCCTTCGACTCAATGACAACGTTGCTCTTGAGGGGGAGGCCCTGGAAAAGCGTGGGCGAGCGGCGACGGGCCCAGGGAAGAGGGGGAAAGGGGAGGAGGGGAGACGGGCCCAGGGAAAGGGGAGCGCAGGGACAGGAGACGACTGGCCCAGGCAAAGGGTGGGTGCAGGGACACGAGACGACGGAGACGACGACGAACGAACGACAGGAACGGGCAAGCCCCTCACACACGCCCGACACAGGGTCGGCGGATTTGGCCATTTGCCACCGATTGGGCCCCGATGGCCCCTCCCGCCCAGGAGTGTGCGGAGTCGCCGTCGGGGGCCAAACGCCGATGTATCGGCGAAGTTTCGCCTGTTTCAGCTCGGTGTTACCCCCCCCTCCTGAGCTGGTCCGGGCTCCCCCCCTCACGTTCCACTCCCCCTGTGGGGGGCGCTGACGAGGGCTGTATCTGGCATATTCTACCTAGCTGCTCAGTGGGTTACGAGCGTCCCACGTAAGTGGCCAAGGGTTGTGGACGACGATCAATGGAGAGGAAGCATGTTGCCAAACAATTTCCTGATGTCCAGAGCATGTTTGAAGCATGTCCTACACATGCGAAGATGTTCCAAACATTTGAAGCACACGTCTGCTTCAATGGCAGGACTGTTGGGTTGTCCACGGTTATAGCATCCGCAAGTGCAGGGGGGGTGAGACAGCTCCGCGAGGTGGGCGGAGCCCACGTGCGCCCCGATGTTCACCCCCCCTGAGCCACTTTCAGGCTTCTTGGACCGTCTTGGGGTTATCTCCGGTCCTCCTCCTGCTCGCTCCTCCGCCCCGAGGCGGGCGACCTGGAGAAGGCCGTGGAATGGCTGCGGAGGCGGGGCATGCGCTCCATGGAGAGGCGCGCCGCGGAGTCCGCGGAGGCGCTGCTGGCGCTCGCGCTGGCTCCCCCCCCCCGGGCGCGGCGGCGAGCGGCCGGGGCCCGTCTGCTCCTCCATCCTCCTTTGGTGGTGGTGCTGCTGCTGCTGCTGCTCGTCGCCGCTCCTCGTCCTCCCCCCTCCTTTTCCCTCTGCTCCTCCTCGTCCTCCTCCTTCTCCTCCTGCGTCTCCGTCTGCTCCTCCGCCGCCTCTCTCCCCGTGCTGCTACTGCTCCTCCTGCACGTCCCTTCTCCCTGCTCCTAGCCTCCTCCCCCTCCGCCTCCCTGCTCCTCCTCCTCCCCCCCCTTCCTCCCTCCTCCTCCACCGCCCCCTTCCTCCCTCCTCCTCCACCGCCTCCCCCTCCTCCATGCATGTTCCTTCCAGGTAACTTCTCCCTCTTGCCCCCCAGACGTGTCGGTAGGGCGGCAGGACGTTCCGCTTGGGATCTTTCTGATCAGTCATGATCCTGAAGCTTGACAGTTGCAACGCTTACACGGGAGAAGGGGGAGTGAGTGGTTGGAAAAGGGGGATCTCGCCGTAGCGCCGCGTACATTTGTTTTGAAAGGTGGCAAGAGTTTTAAGTATGACGCACAAGTCGATTTCAATCAGGGGATCCCCCCCGTAGGGCTTCTGGCCGCGCACATTCGCTCCAAAGGCTAACAGGGATTCCAATCTTGAAGGAGCCATTTTATTGGGGCCCTGTACGTCGTACAAGTTTGCAGCAGTTTCAAGGACATATTAAATGTCGTGTTCTTTGGCCGTTAGAAAGAATGAGGCTTTTGCCTTAGCGCAGCGCACGCTTGCTTAAACGTTTTGAACTCGCTTCAATGATGGAGGGCGGCTCCTTTTCAAAATGGGACTCTCGCCGTAGTGCCGCCGACATTATCCGAACAAGTTGGTACGGTTAGATGGACGGAGGGTGGATCCTTCTCAAAGTCGGGTTTTCGCACTCGTGTTCCTTCAGCTTCAGGGTGCTCCTTCAGCATGGGATGCCAGAACACTCACATTCATGTGCAGCAGCTGCACGGGTGGAGGGCGGCTCCAAAAAAAAAGAGGCGCAACAGCGCGCCTTCGCTCATATCGGTAGCTGTTTCCACAAGCATGCACGTTCATTCACGGTGTAGTGGATGGGGATGGTGGTGGTGTGCTGTTGCTGCACATCCATAGCCTTTGGGGCTCTAGCTGAGCAGATCGTAAGGCAGGTGGCGAGCACGCAACCGCTCGCCGGCCTCAAGGGAAAATAATCATCACGCTTTGACCCTTCTCGCTCATTTGTGTGGGTGGAGGGCGGCTCCTTTTCGAGCTTCGGTGCGCATGACCAGAAGAGTAATCTTGTGGTGCAGCGGTCACACACACGACGGGGGCGGTCCTGATTCCAGACGGGGGTCTTGCTGGACACCTCGCTGGACTGTATGGCCATTTTTTTTCCCGCCTTGCTTCTTTTTGGCTCAAGGGATGCAAGGCAGTTTCTTCTCAAGGCGGTGCTCTCGCCTGAATGGCAGGCCCACAGGGTGCTGGTTGTCTCACCGGTGCCCTTCTTGCAGTGCGCGGGTATCCTCGCGTACACTTCTGGGGAGGGGACTCGGGGGGCAGGGGGTACACCGCAGCATCGTTGATGCGTCTTGGGTTTCCTCTGGTCCTCCTCGTCGCCGCCCTTAGGGCTCTCACCGCCCTCCTCGGCCTCCTGAGGTGGGCGCGGAGGGTGCATGCCTACGGGCCCCACCCCCTTATGCTGATTATGCCCGGGTGTTGCGTCTGCAGGCTGTTCGCCTTGTCCGCCTTCTGTTTGCCGCGGACTTCGGCACCTGGCCGTGCGGTGGGTGCGCCCGTGTGCGCCCGACGATCTGGTGGCGCATCCCTCCCCCCGGAAGGCAGCGACACTGCAGAGTTGAGCTGCCCCCCGCGCGCCCTGGAAGATGACGCGCAGCCGACGGGGCTTTGTCCCTGGGTGCGACGAGGATAAACATCAACGGGGAGGGCGGGGGCGGGGCCAGGTCTTTGGACGGGGGTGGGAGAACAGGGCATGGCGAGGTCGTGGCGGGGGCGAGACCGCGGCGGTGTCGGGACTGGCGGAGGAGCGGGGGGGCCGTGGAGGGGGTGGGACTGGAGAGAGGGGGGGGATCGCAGAGGGGGCCGAGATGGCGGAGGGGGTGGAATCAAGGAAAAGATGGGGGCGTGCTCGTGGAGGGGCCGAGACTGTGGCGGGGGCGAGGGCGTGGGCGGAGCGGCCCGGCCTCGGGGGCCTGGCCGCCTCCCCCCCGGCCCTTGCCGAGCGAGGCTCCGCCCTCCGCGCCCGCCTCCGGCGCCGTGGTGGAGCTGCGGGCAGGAGACGCCAGGGGGGTGGTGTCAAGTCGGGCCTGTCCCTCTGCAGGGGGAATGTTCAAGAATAGTCTGAAGTTATAGTCTGGGGACCATTTTTTGACTATGGTTGTGCCCTTTTTGGGGGTACTTTTTTTGAGCATTTTGAACTTTTCGCCCAGAATGCCCCTGTAGGGGGGCAGGCCCGACCCAAGGGTGGTGGGGGGGGGCCGCGGCCCTGCCCCGAGGCCTCCCACCCGGGCTTCGCGGAAGAACGGCGGGTTCGACCGAGCCGACATTGGCGCGCGCAGGCTGCCCAGGTGCGGTCGCGCGTGGGCGCCACCTGCTCCACGCGGTGGGCCATGCTGGCGGCCCGAGTGAGCCGCAGCGTAGGGTCGCTTTGTCGGCAGGTCCTCTCGCGTAAGGCCCGTTTCGTTTCGTCGCCCAGAGGGGGCCAGAGCAGCGTCTTGCAGGATCATCCAGAGCAAACCCCTGGGACACGAAGATAGACGCGTTTCGCGCGTCGCGGTCTGGGCCAGAGCGGCTGCCTTTCTCCCGGTCCGGGCTGAGGAGTCGCGCCCCAGTTGGCTGGTGTCACCCCCGTGGGCTCGAAGGCAATCGCGCTGCGCGTGTCCGCCCTTCTCTCCAAGGTTGGCCTCGCGTGGGTGCGAAGAATACCACGCATCGTGGGGCGCGATGCGCGAAGTTAGGCGACACAGATCAGAAGCACCCTTGCATCCCTGCCTCTCGGCCCATCCTCACCCCTCGCCAGGGCCCATGGGTTTCCAGCTTCGGCTTCAGTCTGGGCGTCCAAGGCCCATGCATTCCTGCCGCGCATCCTGACGGCCCCTTCGCGCTGCAGATGGGGCTAGAGTATCGCTCCGCATCGCCAGCGCTTCGGCGGTGCGACTCGATTTGGAGCCTGCGCCGAAATCGCCGATGCATCGCCGATGCACCTGCAGTGCATCGGTGGTGCGGCGCGATCTTCCGACCCCATCCGCTCGGACCCCCATGGAGAGGCCTCCACCTGCAGATCAGAACGATGGCAAAACGGCGCGCAGCATGTGCAGTGAAGGGGCTGGAAGAGCGACCACTCTGCGCTCAGGAAGGGCTCGGGTTTTTTCAGAGGAGCCTTGCCTCGTTTGCATTGTTGGCCTCCTTGGAGGCTCTCGTCGCCACCGCTGGATTCGCCTCGAAATTCTGGCCAGAATGCACCCCGGGAGAGGTCCAGGGAGTAGCGGTATTGTCACCTTTTGGCTTTCCCCATTCTCGGGTCGTCCCCTAGGTCTACGTCGAGAAACTTGTGCTCGAGACACAAGAACCACATACACATACGTTCTCGGAGGTCCGCGCGGACCTCCGAGCAAATATGCTTACCTCTTTTTTGTTGCCCTATAGTCGTGGCCGAGGATCACCGTGGCCAGACTAGCCCCTTCGTCTCTTCATCAGCGTTCCTTCTGTCAGCGCGGCGGCTGGACGGCAGGCTCGCTGCGCTTTCGCAGCGCCGCGACTGTGCAGTGTTGGACGAGCCACGCGGGGCGCTCCAGACAGGGCTCCGCCTTCGAGGATCGAGGGAGCTGGCGTCTCTTCCTTGGCGGAAGGCGGCGGAAGGGGCGGCGGAATCCAGCGGACGTAAGACGAGGGCGCCTCCGCTGTCAGAAGGCCTGCGGAAGGCCGGCGGAAGCTGGGGGAAGTACATCTCGGTGGTTCAAAGATGGGGTCCTCTGAGGAGTGGGGTCCTCAGGACGAGGTGCCCCAGGCAGCGTAAATCCAGCCTTGAACCCCATCCTATCCTTGTGATCCCATCCTTCAGGACCCCTATTTGGAGTCACCGAAAAACATTTCCTGTCAGGTGGTGGCAAGGTTTTTGGTGCAGGGTTTCCAGAGCCCGCCACCGCCGTGGCGGAAACCAGCGAGCAGGTCGTCACGGCACGAACCTGGCCGTTTACTTTATTTCTTTGGCCCCAAGAAGAGGGGGTGCGTGACGGCCTTCTGGGCTGCTCGGGTGTTCGGGGGGCAATTCTCCTCAGCACGACTTGGCACCGCTTGGACGTGTGGATTTGTCCTTCGGCGAGGACCATCGAGGATACTTGTGGATCAGTTGCGAAAGATTACACGCACCAAACCGAAACATGTGCAGGGACTGGACGTCCCAGCGATGGGGAGACAAGCATCCACATTTGGACAGGTCTGGCTCAAGGCCGCGCGGTAGACGTGTACCTTAGTCTCAGTGTTGAGAGTTTCGAGGCCTGGCGCCATGCTGGAAATGCCTTCGTCATGCACCCTGCGTGCCAGGGCAGGAGCGTGGACGAGATTCAGGGCATGACCGTCGACGGGATACGCGATAGCGGGGGCAGCGTTGGCGTTGTCAGGATGCCGGCGAAGGTGTGCCTCATCCAAGAGGGCCTGGATCTTCAGTACAGCGGGAGCTGGTGGGCGACTGAATCGACCCCGTTGCATGCCCAGTCTACCAGAGGTAACGCCGCCAAGCTTTACCAGGAGCTGCAGGAACTCCGGACGCACGCGAAGGCGACCGAGGCGAAGGTGAACGAGAGCTATGTGCACGTGGGACGACTCGAACTGGATGTTGGATGTTGATTTGGGTAGACACGACGGGGACGCTGGCCGCCCGTTCGGGTGGAGGTGCCACCCAGAAGGAGCATTTTTCCTCTGCGACTACGTGGTTGTCGCCGAGCGGGAGGTCGCCGAGCCGTTCGGCTCCTTCTACAAGGTGGTGACGGAGCCCGCCAGCTGGGCGTCTCCCTACACCCAGAGTCGGTCATCGATACCGAATTTACATGCAGCAGCTGGTGCAGGCCGTCGACGTTCGCTTCGAGCAGGTTACCATCGCCCTGATCCCGTTCGAGCGGTGCGGCCGACTAACGTCTCGGGTGAGAACGTGCTCTGCAAGCACAAACTCAGTGACGAGACCTTCGACGACGTGCCCGTGCTGGGCGTCAGCGCTTTGATCCCAGCAGTGTATGAGGATCTGGCTTCGGTCTCAACTGTGCAGGACGCGGATGTTCCCTTGAGCATACCAGATCGCCTCGTATGGTGAAAGGCTCTTTGCGGAGGAGTAGCCCGGGAAGTGCCCTCGTGTCATTCGAATGTTGCCTCAAATCTTGTTTGTTGCTGGGCCTGGCCTCAGCGAAGTGTTTAACCTGCCCATATAAATCGAATGCTCTTGGCGTTCGAATGAATAGATGCAGCAGGAAGTTAAGAGAAACACCATGAGCCCAGTTGCACGCAGGCGTTCGCCTGTCCTTGGGGGCAGCGATGCTAGGTGCATGGTTGTTGTGCCGAAGAGCCCAACGGCCAGTTACTGTTGTCTACTTTTGCAGTTCATATGGCGAGGTGTTACTTCGACATATACGTGTTACGGTGCCTGCAGACGAGCAGCTCTGTTTTTCTCTGCGAACGTACAATCTTTTAGTTCTGACAATTCGCCAACGGTTCTTTGCGAACGAACGAATTGTTTTCTCCGGGCCAACCAGCCTCTTCGCAAGTGTGGCGCCCCCTTCGCTGTAGCACTGCGTGACTGCAGAGCTGCGCGGACGGGTCTTCAGCTGCACCTTCGCATTCAGAATGGCGATCTCAAGTGTGAATGTCACACTCGAGCCTCGCGGAGAGAATCAAAGAATGTGCCTCGTGTGCTTTTGCATACCTGCCGTGAAGTTTGCCGGGGCGGATTGTTGGGGTCTGTCGCCCGCCTGCTCGGTCGCCTGACGGATCCCCGCTTGTCTGGGCATCCGTAACAAAATCCACCACCGCGAAGCCCGCGAGGAAGGCCACCAGGACCCTGCCGAATGCCCGGAGGGCGAAGCTGCAGGCCGCCCAGATGGGATGCAGGTGGGGTCGGAGGATCGCTCCGCATGCATCGGCCCCCAGGCAACGCAGGACGCAGAGGAGGGATGGGGGTGGAGGGCAGCGTGGGAGTCAACCCCGATGCCCGCATCCGTACGGCTGCAGTGGGGGAGGTGGAGCGGGAGGAGCGTGCCAGGAGGAGGCGTGAGGGAGGTCGGGTGGCAGAAACGACACTGCTCCTCGCGTGGTCAGCGTGCTGCCCAAGATCGGCGGCGAGCGAGGGGGGGACGTGAGAAGGGGCGGACCTTCTCTGGAGGCTCGGTAGTCCCCCGGCCTTCTGAGAAATTCTCTGAGTCTCCCCCCAAAGACGCAGCAAACTTCGCAGGAGGCGCGAGGACTTCTGAGAGTCCCGCCGCCTCCTGAGATGGCCTTGTCCTCCTCATTCCCCCCCCCCCCTCGCACGGCGCCAGCGAGAGGCTGAGCGGACGTGGGCCTTCCAGTCGGGGCGCCTCCCTGGGCCGCGTGGGTTCTCGGCCAGGCCTGCGGCCTCGACGCGCGGGCCGCCCCACTCCGTGGGCTCTTGTGGGCCACCTCGGGGGGGGGGGCGCTCCTGGGTGCTCTGGAGGTTTTCGCGGGGCCACTCCAGAGCCACGTCCAGCGGCAGAGAAGGGCAGTGGGGTGGGGGGGTGCACTTGCTGGATGCTCTGTGCGCTCGTGAAGCGAGCATGGGCACATGTTGGATTTCGTTCCCCGCGTTCACAATCTGACGTGCGGGTGAGCCGTCCAGTTGTTGTGCCTTCTCTCCTCCGCCAAAATAAAAAAAACAAACAGTTGCTGGATGTTCTGTGAGCAGCCTCTTCAGTTCGTGAGCCCGCAGTATGGGAGCTGCGGCGGGCCCCTGGGGGAATCAAGCACTCAATCCTCTCAGTCACTTGATCCACACTGTTCTGGCGGCATGTCGTTGCTTGTTGACCTCCTAAGGAGGCGCTTGGGCCGTGTTCGAACTGGGCGATTTCGGGTCTTTAGGGTCCATCTCGACAGCCGCCTTGGGTCCGCTTACGCCAGGTCTGGAGTCCACGGGGCAGTGTTGAACGTCTCGTGGTGCCCTGGAATAGTAAGCGGCTGACCTTACATATTTTGCATTGTGTGTCTGCCGCAGTGCCTGATCGGCATTCGCATGCTGCTGTGGCGGTTCTAGCTACAGACTGTACCTCAAGCGACGTTGCTATTCGCCTCGCTGCTCGTGAGAATACCTCGCGCAAGGTTGAACTCTTGATGCTTCGCGCTTCTCCACCACCCCATCCAGAAACGATGCCAAGGCGAGGTGCCTTGACCGGGGAAGTGCCAACCAGTAGCACGAAAACGGTGGACAGCGGTCAAAGTCGAAGTTGAGGATCAGCCTGAGCAAACCCAGGAGTCAACTATGCATGCCTTCTCGGATCTTTCCATATGGGAGGCTCTTGACAGCTTACTTGGGCCATCTTGGGGTTATGTTGGGGCAATTTTGGAATCCGTTGGGGCTCTTTTGGGGCCCTCGTGGGGCTCTGTTGGGGCCCTCTTGGGGGCCTTGGGGGTCCTCTTCGGGCCATCTAGGAGGCCATCGATCAAAAAAGGGGAGGCCTTAATTACAGTTGCTCCGTCGAAGCCTCAAAATCTCCTCTTGAGCCCTTCTTGGGACGCTCTTGGGGCACTCTTGGGGCGCTCAAGTGGCCGTCTTGGAGCCCTCTTTGGGCCGCTCTTGGGGCTCTACTGGGCCATTTTGGAGCTATCTTGCGGCCTTCGAAGCCCATCGGGTCTTCGTCGTCATTGTCGTCGTCCTCGTCGATGACGTCGCCGTCGTTGTCATTATCATCTTCGGCGTCGCCGTCGACGATGCTGACGTTGTCGTCGTGGTCGTCGCCGATGCTGTTGTTTTCTCCGTCGCCGCCGTGGTCGTCGCCGTCGCCGTCGCCGTCGCCGTCGTCGTCGTCGTCGTCGCCGTCCGTCGTCGTCGTCGTCGTCCGTCGTCGTCGTCCGTCGTCGTCGTCGTCGTCTTCGTCGTCGTCGTCGTCGTCGTCGTCGTCGTCGTTGATCTCGTCGCCGCCGGCAGAAACCGACTTCGTCACCCGCGGGGAGCTGTTCCAGCAGCTGGTGGCGGCGCTGGCGCAGACGGCGGCGTCAGGCCGGGCGGCCGCCCGGGCGAGGGGGGGGGGGGGGAGGTTCGGGCGGCTTCGGACGGCCGCCCCCTGGCGCGTGCCGGGCGCCAGCCGGGGGGGGGGGGGTCCAGCGAGGGGGTCCAGGCCCACGAGCGTCGGGATACCTCAAAAAGGGGGGGTGTGCCCTGGGTGACTCTGCGTGCGTGTGTGAGAGAGTTCGATCTGGTTTTGCACCGAGCCGCCCAAAGCAGATGCCCCCCCAGCCGCGGGCAGCTCCCGGCAGTTGCCGATGGCTGGGGCATGCGGGGGGCATCTGTTTGCGGCAGTTCGGTGCACCAGCGGATCGACTTCATGCCCCCCCTTTTGGTGGATTTTGAGAATGGAGCGGGGGTGCCTGGAGAAGGTAGGGCGGACGTTCATGGGGAGGGGGCAGAAGAAGGAACAATTGCGTGAACATAGTCTTTCGGAGCTCCTCGCGACTTCCCTGGCTCTGCGCAGGACCCCCTTCCTGGCGCCCAGAGCGCGCCAGGTGCGGCGCTGGAGGCGCCGCCAGGGGGGGCCCAGCGCCGATCCACGAAATCCGCGTGGAGCTCCGAAAGTTTGTGTTTGTGCAGCTTTTTCCCTCCTCGGGCTGAGCTGACTTGTCCTGCGACCGATGACGAGCCTTGCCCCTGCGGGTCTGGTCGACGCTAGGGTATCGGGTACCCCCGCTGGGGTTCCTTTGGCTGCGGACCTCGTCCGAACTCTAAGGTCCAGCTGGCGTTTCAGAACTCTGGCCTGCAGGAGTAAGGTTCACGCGCGATTGCCTATTCGTCGCCCTCGCCACTTGATTTGTAATATGATCTCGGTGTACAGGCACGACGTGTCCAAAAACATGCTGACGTCGGCCTACCCCGTGATACCGTTGAATTGGTACATCGGCGGGCTCCCAACATCGTGTCCATGAGCTTATGCGGACCTACTCGTCGGGCCCGCCAGGCCTTCATTTTCGATCTGTCGATGGTGGTAGGGATGAAGACGGCGACGACGACGCTGACAGTTGCTTCCACGATCTAAGTCAATATGATGAGCCAGGCGAGGACACTGACGGGTGTGATGTAAACGGTGTCGTTGTGTTCACGTCTTAGATGAGGCGCTGGCAACATGTTGTAGGGGGGGTTCGAACATTGAACGCATCAACGGTGACGTCCAATTTCGAAACGCCAAGGAGCACCCCTGCTAGGAGGAGGAGGAGGAGGAGGAGGAGGAGGAGGAGGAGGAGGAGGAGGAGGAGAACTACGATGACATCGAGGACACATAGGCGGAAAACGAGCTGCCGCACTGTTTTCGTTGCGTCGTGGAACTCGCTTGGGGTCTTTTTAGGTGCGTTTCTTTGGTGTTTTTGGCCCCTTGAGCCGCATTAGGTGTTTGTCGGGCTTCTTGCGGGGTCCTCTTCGGATGCACGGGAGCGCGTCGGAAAACATGGAACTTGCAATTCTCTTGGACGCACCCGGTACATATTGCACCCCATGGATTGCAATGCACAGATAACACCCCGTACGATGCACAAGGCTTGGGATGCTGGCATTACTTAGGATGACGGCAAAGTGGACCATGTTCTTCAGCGTTCAGGGCGCCCTTGCGCAATCGGGCGTGGACTGCGATACAGTGTGGTCGTTTGGTCATTTGTGCGCTGCCGCCGTTCACGCACGTTGGCCAGGTCTCCTGCACGGCGGTACATTGGTGCTGCCACCAGCCGCAATGACCTGCACGAACATCAAGTCCAGCGTACAGGTTGCGCACTGGCCCGGAGGAAGCCAGCAGAGTTGCATATGCACAGCACCAGCACACATGTCGCAACTGGTTCTACAAAACGCATGCGGCGGCGATTGCGATGAATACTTGGTGTTGGCTGGTGCATCTCTGGGACCTCTGGGCACTTTCCAGCGGGCACTTCAGTGCGAGTCGGCCACTTGGGTGGTCGCGGTATCATGGCAACGTCGACAGCGGTCTGCACGATGATGATAGCGACGCTGGTGACGATGATGACAACGGCGGCGGCACGGCAGATGACGGCGGCGCCGGCGACGATGACGGCGTCTTCGCGTTGGTGATGAACGGAAAAAGTTCGACATGCGTTCGTGGCCGACGCGCGAGAGTGGTCCGCATGGTATTAATGACAAGGATCGTGTCCCCCAGCACGCGCGCAAGGGCGTTCGAATGATGTAGGAGGAGGAGGAGGAGAGACCAACGGAGCGGCTCGCGGGGCGGGCCAACGGAGCGGCTCGCGGGCCCGGCCAGGAGGCGAGGGCGGCGGCCTGCTGGGCGCGAAGCTGGTGGGCGGGCCGCCGCAGGATGCCCGCGACGCGCCTCGGTCCGGCGGCCTGCAGTGAGAGGAGCTCGCGGCTCGAGGCTCGAGGCTTTCGGGCGTCTTCCTCGCGGCCCCCGACGGCTTCCCAGCCTCGGGGCGCTCTCCAGAGCCGCTGCGCCTCGCCGGGAGCTTCCCAGGCGTGCCCGGATCGTCGCGAGCGGCCGCCGGAGGCCCGCGTGTTGACCCGAGGGCCCGCGGGCGGGGTTAGGGTAAGAGGAGGGAGGGTTGAGGCAATGGTAGTTCCAGGAGGGGGGAGCACACAGACGCAAGGAATCGTCGATTCCCAGGAAGATGTGGGGAACTATGGGGCACTATGGGAACTGTAAGAAAATATGGAAAGTGGTGGGGAAGACGGAGATCCATAATTTTTCGAAGATACGGGGGATCCTGGGATTTCTGTGCGTTTCTTCTCTTGCACCAGGGTGTCTAGAGCTCCGACCACTTTATTCCGCGTCGCACACCCCTCCCCCCCTCCCCCCGCGTCCCCAGCGCCAGAGTAAGACCCCTGCGCCGTGGCTCTCTGCCCCGAGCCCCCCCGCGTCCCCAGCGCCCCAGCGGGAGCCCCGCCCACTGCCCCTCCGCCGCGAACGCTTTATTCTGCGTCGCGACGCACACCACCTCCCCCATCTCCTTCCCAGCGTTCCTAGCGCCCCAGCGGGGGCTCCGCCCCGTGCCCCCTCCGCCCCGACAATTTTATTCCTCCTCGCGACGCACGCCACCTCCCCCCCCTCCCCCGTCCCCAGCGCCACAGTTGGACCCCCGCCCCGTGGCCCTCTGCCCCAAGCCCCGCCCAGCCTGCCCCCTCGGCCCCGACCACTTTATCCCGCGTCGCGACGCACACCACCTCCCCCCCCCTCTCCGCGCCTCCGGCGCCCCAGTGGGACCTTCGCCCCGTGCCCCCTCCGCTTCGAGCACTTTGTTCCGCGTCGCGGCGCACACCATTCCCCCCCCCCCCTCCCCACCTGGGACTTGGGCCCCGTTGCTGGGCCCCGAGGGGCGATGTCCTGCCCCCTCTTCCCCCCTCCTCCTCCACCTCCACCTCCTCCCCCTTCCCTTTGTGTGCAAGGGCCCTGGCGCACGTGCCACTTGTCTCGTGCCCCTGAGCCCCTCAGTGGTTGGGCTTCGGGCGGCCCTCGCCACAGCTGGGCACAGCTCGGACAACTGGTGCGTCAGGGCCCTGGGAGGGGCCTGGGGGCCGATCTCGAACTGCCGTGGTCTCAACTCGCCTGGCTCCGATGCCGTGGGTGTGGTTGCGCCGGGGTGTGGTTTGCGATCTGGGCCGCTGGGGTTATGTCGGGCCTGGCCCCCTACAGGGGGACTTTCGACGAAACATAAGCAATACCCCAGAAAATACCCCCAAAGGGACCAAAAATACTCAAAACATAGTCCCCAGACTATTTTTGGATTATTTTCGGGGTATTTTTTATTTTTCGTCGAAAATCCCCCTGTAGGGGGACAGGCCCGACGCAACGTTGGGGCCCTGGGGCCCCAGCGTGCTTGCGCTGCGAGCAGCAGTTACGACGGGACGTGCTTGGCCGTCTCCGGCCTCTGAGGGCCCTCGCCAGGATCCAGGACCTTTGGAAACGACTCGCAGTGAAAACTGGCCCCGGGGAAGGGGTCGGGACTTCCAGGGGCCCCGTATTGAAACAATCAGGACATCACATGTCTGGGGGACACTTTGCTGCGCCAAAGGTTTGATGATCCCTCGTCAGGGCTCGGCGGGGAACTCCGTCGCGGACCTCACCTGCACCCCATGGCGCGGGTTGCCAGCCGCACCCTTTCCCAAACCGCACCCTTCGGAGTTGCCAATCAGTTGCTCTCCTACTCGCGTGGGGCTTCCCCAGTACCAGATCGCCGCATGTGATAACAGTTTCCCATCCCAGCATGTCCTTCGTCGATGTCGGCCACTGGGGCTCGTCATCGGGCCCCAGGGACATCAAATATGCATCTGGGCGGAAGATCTCGGGTGAAGGCCAAGTAACGCCACCACCACCACGAGGGGGGCCAACTCCAGCGAGGAGGTCCACGATGCGTCCCCCACCTGGGGATTGGCGATGTCTGGAGTGAGAGGGGGGAACCACACCATCTGGGGGACCCCCCCCTGGCTCGTCCCGCTGGTGGTCCCTAGTGGTGGTGGTGGTGGTGGTGGTTGTGCCGATTTTCCTTGTTTCTAAAGGACTGCCCCTGGGGAACAGGTCGGGACCTTTGGGGCCGCGCAGTGGCAAAGCACATATGGTCGAATGTCTGGGGTTGGCTCGGGTCCGGGGCTCGAGCCCGAGGCCAAGGCTGGACGTGTATCCGTCGGGGCTTCGGTGGAGCTCCCTGTGGGGCCGCGGAGCGTGTGAGGGGTGTGCCAGAGTGGTCGGGGGACCGTCTTCGGCGGGCCTCCCCATGGGGGCCGCGAAACTTGTGAGGGTTGTGCCGAAATCGCCGGGGGGACCGCATGCAATGCCAGCGCCTGGGGGCTTCAGTGGGGCCCCACATGATGTCAATAAACGTGTGAGGGGTAGGAGAGGAGGAGGAGGGCAGAGGACGGAGGTGGAGGAGGAGGAGGAGGAGACAGAGGTGTGTGGGGTAGCTTTCTGCGGCGTGTGGGGAAGGCAGAGGACAGAGGTGTGTGGGGTAACCATATGCGGAGAGCAGAGGAGGATGAGGAGGAGGAGAAGGTGACGCTCGCGCTGCTGACCCACAACGAGGACCCAACTCAACGGGAGGGTTGGGAACAACTTTGGAGAGTGCCAGCTCGCTTCCAGTACACTTCACATTGCGCAATGCTGATGCGGGGAAGCGAATTCCAACCGTGCTGGCTCGCTTCCTGTTCGTGTGGCGCTGCTTGCACTGGCTGGAAGAAGCTCACTTCTGGCTTGTAGACTTGCTCTCGGCGTATTTCTCGCAGCGCTGCTGCAAAGAGAGCTTCGAGCGTGCCGGCTTGTGCAGCTGCTCTTTACATTGGATTTCTATCATCAACACTATCATCAACCTCATCATCATCACCACCACCACCATCACGACCACGACCACGACCATCAACATCGTCACCATCACCTCCACTATCATCGTCATCAACATCATCATCAACATCATCACCATCATCATCATGATTATCATCATCATCATCATCATCATCATCATCATCAGCATCGTCGTCGTCATCGTCGTCGTCGTCGTCATCACCATCATTATCACGCTCACCATCATCATCATCATCATCATCATCATCAGCATCATCAGCAGCATCAGCATCAGCATCAGCATCAGCATCAGCATCAGCATCAGCATCATAATCATCATCATCATCATCATCATCATCATCATCATCACCGGCATCATCCTCATCGTCATCATCATCATCATCATTACCATTATCATCATCATTATCATCATCATCAGCCTCATCCTCGCTTATCATCACCATCATCCTCAGCGTCCTGGCCTGAGCAGATTCTGTAGCCGTTTGATCTCAAGTTTTATTGGCTCATGCAGTTTGGCCCGTGTAGCAATTCTTGCGGCTAGCACATTGTTCTGCCCAGTAGCATTGTTCATCCCAGGTGCTTGAATTGGTTGACCATGTTTGCGGATGCTTGCACCTCACGCTTCAAAGGAGCACGACGTCGTTTTGCGCATGCTGTATTTGTTGGATCGGTAGCCCTGCTTCACATGCATCAGCACTCATTCAAATGGGTTTATCTTACAGATCGGGTCAGGGAATGTGCAGTGACTTTGCCACCTTGTCTCATAGCTCGGTTGGGGCCTGGCCACACGGGGATCCGGTCGAAGACAAAGACAGCTGAAGTAGAATCCCGAGCAGACTTTCCATTGTTGCACGCTCGGCGTCGAATCTTTCTTTCAGCATCGCTGATCGGCATTGTGAAGCCGTCACCGACACATGGGGCACCCATGGGCGAATCTGTTCCAGGTGAGGGATTGGTGATCGATAGGACTGGTCTCACGTCGACATCGACTCGGAAGTCACTGAATATTTTGTTAGACCGTTTCGAGGCACAAACAGGCATAAAAGTGCGAGTGATTTGTCCGCCGCCCGGATCGAGGCAGGTCAGGGAGCAGTGGAGAGAGTTCATGCGCCCGCTTGCGAAACAATTGAGAATTGATTCTAATAGTGTTGTCGTCATTGCCGAGCAGCAAACTCAGACCCTTTCTGGCAAGGCGCTTGGTTTCTTGACAATCAATATAGGCAACAAGCTCCAGGAGCGTTTCCAATACAAGTTCAACAACGATTTTGTAAGGGCTGTGTCGAATCGATTTGGAGATCCTAGCTATGTAAACGCTCAGGGTACTGATGTTGCACTCCGTGATGCCACTGAGAACATCGTGGCAGCTCTTTATGAGCTTACTGACCGAGAATCGAATAAGAAGAACCGAGATTTGTTTACAAAGCCGTTCTGGCGGAGCTACGTTCCAGCTGACGACGTGTTGGCGATTCTTGAGCGTCACAGGGTGTGAGCAAAGTCAGGATAAACGCTAGACATCAAGGCCTCTAATCTACACCGTCGTGATGGGAGAAGAAGGATAGTCTTGCAGTGACTTGTTTAGGAGGCTATTACCACAGTAATGGAAGCAAGGTTATTTCGCAGTAGTGGAAGTTGTGTTAGTTTTGGACGCGTAGTGCTGGTAGTAGTCTAAGTAGTCTTGATAATAGCAGTAGTAGTAGTAGTCGTAGTAGTAGTAGTAGTAGTAGTAGTAGTAGTAGTAGTAGTAGTAGTAGTCGTAGTAGTAGTAGTAGTACTAGTAGTAGTAGTAGTGGCAGTAGTCGTAGTAGTAGTAGTAGTAGTAGTAGTAGTAGTAGTAGTAGTAGTAGTAGTAGTAGTAGTAGTCGCATCAGTAGTATCAGTCGTCGTCGTCGTCGTCGTCGTCGTAGTAGTAGTAGTAGTAGCAGTCGTAGCAGTAAGTAGTAGTAGTAGTAGAAATAGTAGGAGTAGTAGTAGTAGTAGTAGTAGTAGTAGTAGTAGTAGTAGTAGTAGCAGT